CCAATTGTGTTACTCGAGGGGGCCTTATTTACTCTGCAGATGTGGTGTTCAAAATTCTACATTCTGCAGAAAACGAAATTGGTATTATATTAGAAAGTAAAATTATTTTAAAAACAAAAATAAACTTAAAATTAAAAATTATTAATAAGTGTAAATTATTTTGTTGCAATAATAGATCTTTTTAAACCCAAGCATCTTATAACTCAAGAATTTGTAGGTGAAGAATGTCACGAAATTCAAATTATTCGGAAAATAGTCGCTATATATGTAAAGTATCCAATATATCACCACATTAAAGTATTAAATTTAAAATTACATTTAGAAAAAATGCCTCAGTATGACAAAAAAATTACTAAAGCAACATATTTCAATATTCAGAGTATACGTGATTCTCCCAGTATGCAACTTATTGGCAATTGGTTACAAACTTTTCGTGAACATCGACCAGGCGCAACACGAAGAGTAAATGATGAAACAATTGAAGCAGATCGGCGTCTCTCGCTAAGAAAGCGTTGCGCTTCATTAAACTTATAAAGAGCAACTGTATACAAAATTATCAAAAAGGGTTTGAAATTTCACCTTTACAAAATTCAAAATACTCAAAAAATTAAGCCAACTGACTATGAATTGAGGATGGCGTACGCTAGAACCATGCTCGAAAGATTTCATTGTCCTCTAGATTACAAAAACAATATTTTCTGATGATGCTCATTTTCACATACGGCATTGACTTGGCATGTGTATGGGCGTTTCAAAAAAAACCTATACTTGATTTGGTCCATTTTTGCGCATCAGTTTATGATTCACTGATTAACGCTAATAAGACAATAGCCAGGAAAAAAGGTAAGAGCTTCTTTTACGCCGGATTTACAAGAATCTCCAAAGAAAAGGCGAGCTAATACTGAAACTCGACCACAAATTGATGTCAGGTTGGACAACATGGAACATTTAGCAACCTATTCTGAAAAGGATTTTGGCACCCGTTGAAAAAGTGAAAACTGTAAAGGGAAGTCCCGAATTACGTATTGCAAGTGTAAAGTACACCTGTGCTTAACAAAAAATAATTACTGTTTTATCAGTATCATATAACATAAATAAGTGTATACTTAAATCCCGTTTTTTGTTAATTTTGTCAATTACCTTTTATTCATAATGTCCACAAATGTGGATATCTTGTATTTTTTAAGACGTCACTTAGAATTTTTTACCACTGCTAAAAATATTAAAAAATAAGGTATTCACTGCATTCTAAGTGTCATATGTACAACACAACAATTTCATAAAAACTAATAAGCAAAATAATGATAGATTGACAATTTTGTCACAGAAGAATTTGGAAGAATGGCAATAAATCAAGATATCTATAAAAAATTGTAGAACTACTAATCTTAGTGTAATTAAAGTATCTTTTATATAGCTACCGCATCACTTGATTTCGAAAGTGACTAAAAAGAGGTTCCATAATGAAAACTTTGACAAAAGAATTGATGTGGGTACTCAATAAATAATTTGAGATATGTATTCTCAATTATTAAAAGAGAACAATTCATCCATCCAATCATAGGGTAATTAGCAGAATACGAGAATTGACGAAAGTTTCCAAAAGAAGTATTGGAAGAACTTTTTCCAGAAAAGTAGTTGTGACACCAAAGAAAAGAGTACAACGATCCTTAGTAAAAATTAACAATGTTTTAAAAGAACATTTTGAGTAAAAAATATACCAATTGTATAGCGTTAATATTGTACCATGTTTCAATGATATTTTAAAAGAAATAAAAGACATTCCAAGCTTCCCAGTTAAAAGATAAAGCGCGCTATTCGAAAGATTTTACATTCTTTAGGTTTCCGATACAGAAAACTCGATAAACGGCAAAGAGTTATGGAATCTCAACGGATAATTAACTGGAGATACGTTTAGCTTAATACAATTTCCAATAATCGTCAAAATGGAAAAAATATTGTGTATTTGGACGAGATTTAGTATGACACCCCTGAAAAAAGGACAAATATATTAAATGTTCGTAAGGGGAAAATAATCAATTATCTTGAACGCTGAAAATACATATGGTTTTGTAAAGCATTGCTTGTTATTGTCAGCTAAATACATTATATTTTGTTCGGTTAATTACCTTTAAAACATGGATAATAAGCTGTTTGAAACGTTGTTTGGTGAGAATTGCTCCCAAATTTACCACCTAATAGTGTAATTGTGCTAGACAATGCTCCGTACCACTTTAGGCAGGCTGCAGAAATACCTAAAGCCAAAGCTAGAAGGGTATTATTAGCAACTTTTTTTAAAAGAAAGATGTTTGGATATTCGAGATGACGCGCTAAAGACGATTGTTTTATTAAAAGGGCTTAATTTAAAACTAAAATATGTGGACGATGAAATGGCTAAAGAGTGGAGGCATGAAGTGATAAAATTACCTCCATATTACTGCATCTTTAATCCCATTTAAATGGTATGGGCTGATATTAAAAATCAAATGAGGAAAAATAACACAAGGCCTACTATGAGTGAACAACTTTTGATTACAATTATAGACAATGTTTCTAAATTTAATTCTGAAAAATAGGCTAATCGAATACATCATGTCATAAAAATTAAAAAAGCTTACGAGCTTACTAACGTTCGTCTTTTTATTATTGATGTTGATGACACTTCAATTGAAGATTGAAGTGATGACGAATGGCGCTGCGAACTAACGAACGAGAAGAAAAAGTTTCTAAATTATTATAGTAATCGTCATACTTTTTGCGTTATAAATTTAGTTAGTCAGTCGAGATGGAGTTTAAAGGTATTCATACAATGGTATTTTCTGAAAATTTGTCGGAAAACTTTCCATCAAAAATTTTGTATTTTTGTTGAACTTGCACATTTTTGTTAATGTCTGACTTAAAAAGTTAAGTTAAGCCTTTTTAATTATCTAGATCTCTAACTTTAATCAAAAATTGGCCTATTTCGGAAATTTTAAAGTGTAAATGAATTCCTGTGTGACTTTAGGGACTCACTGTGTATGTAGTTGCAATAAGTTTGAACGCATTAATTATAATTGCTCCTTTTTTCATTTTAAGAGATTATTTGGTAGTAGAGTTTCCTAAGGAGACAAAAATGGGACAACTCCTATGTCTGTTGTCCTATCCAATTGAGTAGAAAACGATGATGTTTCAGAAAATTCAACATATTTATGGCCAAATTCTTTGTCCTCAAATACTGACTTAAATAAGTCAATTGTAAACAGAGTAACATTTGAGAGAAAAGAATGTGCAAGCTGTAAAATTCGTATTAAATTTAAAACCAGTAAGTTTTTAAAAAATATTTTAATTACATTTTGATAAAAGAATGATTATGGCTTTAAAAAATCGATAACTAAGAAAACTTCATATTTTTAGATAACTGTGAGCTAGCAGTAAAACGGATGAGGCAACTAGAAAATATGTCTTCTTTCTCGTCAACTGATGACGATTCTAACAAAAAACGAAAAATAATAAGAAATCGCAATTTTGATGATTATCATGCCATTCGAGTTGTCGTTTTTAATAGTGATGAGGATGAAGGCCACCTTCTTTCTCGACCTCGATTAGAAGGAACACTTCATATTTTTGCATTTTGCTTTATATTCTGTATTGTTAAGTAGCATGTTAGTTTAGACCATCTTGCTCTGTTTATTTGTTGTGTATATTTTTTTGGACACTTTGTTAGTATCTATAACAAATCAAGTTTACCAACTTGTAATTTTCTTTTTTGCAGGATTTTAATAAAATTACGTAGCTATTACAGTAGAGGTCCGTTTTTGGAAATTTTAATGGTAACCGAACATAACTATTCATCATTGAATGCAAGAAATCATGTTGCATTGCCAAATAAAGTCATAGAAGAAAAAAATATTTTAAAAAGAATGTGGACTGATGTACTTTCATCTATCATTCAAGTACCAGATACGAGTACGAGTATTTAGCATTCAAAGTACTAATAGTAATCGAAACAAAGAAAAAATAAATATCAAATTGGTAGGACCAATTCTCCCAAAAAATACGCCCATAACAAAACCCTCACGTAAAAATCGAGTCAAGAAAGTCCTTTGTATACCTCGTAAAGGTAGGTAAACTGAGACACGTCATAGTTTTAATTAAAAAGCGATTAAAAAAACTGTTTTCCAATTAATCAGAGAATCTCGGATTTAGGTTGCAAAGAATATGTGAAACATATATTTTTTTAATATGACAATTTGACAAAGAAAAAGAGGTTTAAAAAAAATATTATACGGTGAACAGTCCAAGAGTTATGGAATTTCAAATTATTAACCCCATATCATAATTTTCTGGAAATGTTCTCATCTTGCTTGAGTAAGTACCTATACACAACAGTGGAATCGAAACAAAGAGCTCAGTTAGCCAAGCTAGTTGTGACGATACCAGCTAGTAGTGCTTCAGCAGAATGATCTTTTTCCGGTTTAAAACGAATTCATACCTACTTACGAAACACACAGGGACAAGAAAGATTGAGTGACTTGGCAATTATTTCAACTGAAAAGGAACTTATGCAAGACCTGAAACGAAATACCAATTTTTATGATGTATTAAATGAGTTTTTAATAAAAAACCGCCGTATTGACCTGATTTATAAAAAATAATTGACCTGATTTATAAAAAATAATATATAATTTTAGTGTTTTTTTGTGCGTTCGTTACTCGGTTTGTTATTCAAGAACCCATTGTTATAAAAATACTTTAAGTCATAAAATGCAACGTCTAAATCAAATATTGACTATTATATTGACAGTTCTGAACGAGAACATATTTTGGTGGATTATAGTGAGTAATTTTTATACATTTGTAAATGTTTGCCTACCCTACTGTAACAACTATTGCACGCCACTGGTATCGTTTACCAGATGACGTCTACCAAACAGCTAAACTGGCTAAATTGCTACTTTTAATGGAAAAGGGAGAAGCAGGAAAATATAGGGAAAAAAACATTAGATGAAATAAATTTAGACATGGATGCTGATATAATGGAAGATAATAATGATCAGCGGGATGATGATGATAAAAGAAGTGATATTAGTGACGATGATCTAGAAAGAAGTATTAAAGAAACTCTTGAGAATAGTGAGAATCATGGCGAATTATCAAAGCCTACATTAAATAAATGTCAACAAAACAAAAAGCGCTTTTTGGTACCATGGACATCGCAACAAAAAACAACTGCAAAAATGTTTTATAAAAATCATATTGACAATAAAAGACCTCCTAAACAACACGAATATGAAGAGCTATGTCAAAAATATCCAGGAATGTTTGACAACAAATCATGGACCAAAATAAAAGTTTTTATCCAAAATATGTATTCAAAGAAAACGTTTTATGATGATAAATAATTTATAATTCGAACAAAAAATAATTCTTACAGAAAACTAATTTCTTAATGCTCCGGCATCTTTGAGAGGATACAAAATTGTTTTACCATGTAGTTTTTCTTATTTTTTTTATTGTAGTACTAAGAACTTATTTTATAAAAATGTGTTTATTTTTATATTATTTTTTAATTTACATTTTAATTTGGCACTTAGTTTCTTTCTTCTCTGCTTTCTTTGAGAAATTAGTAGTAATACAATTTTTATCTTTTTTTTTTAGTTGTAATAAAATATTTACCTTTTTAGGTAATTCAAATATTTTATCCCTTATCAAATCGATTATAAAAGCCTAATGTTAGGTAATTAGTTTTTTATAACAAGATGTTATGAAATCAAACAAGATATTTATGGAAGTTTAAAAACGGATAATAAAATGTCTAAATGAATGTCGTATAACGTGTGTTTTAAATTAACGGGCCATCCAAACCGAAATTCCTAGAAGAGTAAGCCGATTAGATGTTTGGCATATTCGGGGTATGCGAGGAAGAGGGGGTTCTATAGAGACGGTACAATTTTTTTTTAGTTTAAAGTATATTATTTCTCTTAATATACTCTTCACACAGTCGTCTGTGAAGAGTATTTTAAGATATCAACTTGAAAATTTCAGGAAAAATCAGGCTCTAGAAGTTGACAAAGCTTACTGATTTTAAAAAAATTGAATTAAAAATGAGGGTTAAGGGGGGTTGATATTTAAAAAAAACAAATTAAAAACGAAAAGCGACATCAATATGAAATTTTTAGTAAAAATTAAGGTCTATTCGGAGATGAAGCCTATTGATTCTGAACTAAAATAGGGGCTAAGGAGGGTTAAAATATTATAAAAATCCTAACTCAAAAACGAAAAATGATATAAACTTAAAATGTTTGTTAAAAAACAATCTCTATAAGAAGACGAAGAATACCTATTGATTTTGAAAAAAAAAAGTGAATTAGAAGTACAGAAGATTTTGGCCTTACCTCCCCTCTGCGAAGAACGAAAACAGTTACTTTTTACCTTACCAGCAATGTCACTAAACCTGTTATAAAAGGCGCAGATCATAGTACTTATTTACCGTGTCCCTTTTGTATGGGCCTTTATTCTGCAAAAAATGTATGGCGACAACGCAAGAACTGCAATGAGAATCCGAATAAAGAAAATCACAGTAGAAGTGCACGAGCAGAGGCTCAATTTTTTTTAATATGCCACCTTAGAGTGGATCCTCAATTAAAAACAGATGTTTTTCCACGAATACGAGCGGATGAAGTTTCTCTTGTAGCAAAAAAGGACCCACTTATTTGTGCATTTGCTTCAAGATACTTGAAGATACATCGAGAAAAACATTTTATCTTAGTAGTTTCGAGGAAAATGCGAGAATTAGCTAGATTTCTCATAGAGGCCAGAAAAATAAAAACCTCTATTAGAGATCTTTTTAGAACACTTAAAAGTGAACATAATAATGTGCTAGTGGCTGCCACTAAAGCAGTAGCAAAATATGATGATGAAAATCGATCTTATCAAGCTCCCACGTATGCCTTGAATATGGGCACAACATTAAAACAATGTTGCGATATGCATGTTTTAAAAAATCTGACGATTTTCAGTCTATACATACAGCAACCACTGAAGCTGAACTAAAAATATTAATTCAGTTAACTGATCGCCATTGGAATTTTGATATCTCTAGCTAGGCATCCAATGAATTAAATCTTCAAAAATGGAACAAACTTAGTTTAGTACCGCTTGCTGGAGATCTAAAACTTTTAAAAGATTATCTTATAGATAAGGCTTATCAAAATTACAAAAAAAAAATAATAATGAAAATGCCTTTACAACTTTGTTAGAAACTATATATTGTCGTTCATTGCTATTATTATAGAAGACGTCCCGGAGAACTTCAAAGACTTTTAATTAAAACGTATCAAAATGCTGTTTTGAATCAAAATACGCAGGGTTACGAACAATTTTCAGACGCTATTTAGAGAGGACGAGGAGTTCTCGTGCTATTTGGCAAGGATGTTCAAGAACATTTGGATGTAATTTTGAAAATAAGATCTGATGTTAATAAAAATACCTCTTTGGTAATCCAAAATCAGAAGAGCCAATTATTGGTGACAAGGTATTAGCAAAGCATGCTAAATTATGTGGAGCTAAAAATCCGGACGCTCTTACTTGCACTCGACTTAGAAAACATTTAGCTACTCTTAAGGCGGAGTTACACGGTGCCAGTAACTTGCAAGTCACTAAAATCCAGTACTGGATTTTAGTACTTACCGTGTAGACAGATATTTTAGTACTAAAATCTAGGACTGGTTTTAGGGATGATTTCAGTCCAGAAAGCATTTCTATTTACTGGTGCAAGTAGCTATCCTACTCCCTAAAATTCAAAAACCTGTGTGAACACGCTTTTTAGTTATTTGTGATTCCAGCATTTGATTTTAGATTTTGTTTTTAGTAGCAGTTAAATTTTGATACAGTGTGGTCGTGTGAATATTATTTTTTGAAGTGTCTTTAAAATAGACGGAGGACACTACACTGAAATTTGTGGAATTATATAGGGATGAGGATTGCCTGTGGAATTTACAGCTTCTTATCTATAGAAATAAACAGGCACGTGAGGCAGCTATAAAAAGAATAGTGGATGCAATGGCAGAGGTGAAAAATAAAATAAAAAACTTGAGGTCGACTCATGTACAAGTAGTTGTAAAAATTAAAAAATCAGAAAGTTCTGGAGCGGGAGCAGTTGAAATATATAGACCCAAAATGAAGTGGTTTTCCGTGTTGTATACGTTTTTACAGAAAATGGATAAGAAAAGAGAAACAATCAGTAATTTTGTAAGTACATACCTAGATAATTATACTAAAAATCTTTATTTTATATTATGAATATCTTAAGCCCAGTACTCACAACAGCGGAAAGCGGAAATTTATTTTGCAGAATTGATGTGATTGGTCCAAATAAATTTAGACACCAGATGGCGCAATTTTCTTGCGAATGTTTTAACTTTCTGCGGTAACCGCAAAAAGTTGAAATTATTTTATATTTTTGGCGGATTTTATAATGTTATCTCTCTCGATTAGTAAATCTCACTTTGTTTATCGAGAATAATCTTAGATTTTTTTGTTGGAAACTTGCATCATGCTCATCAATAATACAAAAGGGCTCTTATCCAAATTATCCAATCCGAACGTTCAGTTTTTATTTTTTTATACCCATATACTTTTTGAATTATTTTTTACTATCATGGATGAAGAATATGATTATTTTGAGGTAAAATAAACACTGCGTGTATGTACATTTATAATATTTACTATTTATTAGGTTACAATATGTGAAGAGTATGGTAGCGTTAATGGCTGTGAACATAATATTCGTAATACTGAGACTGAGGATTTTGCCCATGAAAGTGATTTTAATGGGGCTGATTTTCCCTCAAACAGATTTGTAAAGTAAGTTGTGTTCATATGGGCTAATAAATATTCTAATATTTTTTATATATATTTACAATTTAAACTATACATGTTACAGTGCAGTTGTGAACCAGAGACTCAACAATTGAGGAATTATTGATCTCTTTTGTTGAAAGCAAGCCTCCATTATGGAACCATAGAATTCCTCTGATGGAGAGAACAAAAACGATAAAAGAGAGATTATGGATTGAAATTCGAATTGAATTTGGGGATACAGACAATGTCACTGACTGTATTACAAAAAAAAGAACCTGAGAGACACATACATACAAATAAAGGTCGAAGTTGAGGCTTATATCCCAACGGGAACACCACAAAAGAAAAGGAAGAGAGTTTGGAAACATTACGAAAGTATGAAATTTTTAAGCGACTCAGTTGTACCAAGAAGGTGAGTTGTAAATATAATCTTACTTTTAGATGTTATTGAATTATGTAAATTTTTGAGTTATATATATTTTTTAGCACAATAAGCAGCTTTGGTAATAATTTAAAATCACCCAGCTGTTCAGAGGAGGTTCAGGGAAATTTAGAAGGCTTTTCCAGACCTATAAGTAAATATATTTTACCTTTATTTTATAGAATAGTTATTTGACACATACTTTTTACAGAAACATCAAAAATAAAATTGATGATACTGGGGATGCGATTCCACGGGTCACGGAATCAAAAGGTAATGAAGCGGCAGTTAATCCAATATGCGTACGGCTATCAGAAATGATGGCCAAGATGCCTGGTCGAGAGAGGGCTTTATTGGAAATAAAGCTTCTGCAGACAGCTTTCGAAGCATGCCAAGACTATTTAATTTTTTTAGGGTGTGTAAGAGAAAAAAAAAATAATTTCAATGTTTATATATTTTATTTTTTCTACTGAAACGAAACTACTCCCTCTGTATAAAAATACAATGATAAATTTGCTCTAATTTCTTCCACTATTTTTTTATACGTATTTGTACTTGTTTTATTAATGTTTTTTAAATTCGACATTTCCAATTCAGACCTCCATTCTCCATTTGTAACATTTCCAATGGTATCTTCACGGTCTGTTAACATGGAAGGGCAATATTTTTCACACCTGTCAGACATTATCCAATTGTGAAGTACCACCACAGCTCCTACAACACACTCCACTGTATCCAAGGATGCAATTATTGGCTTACGTAACATGCAAGTATGCCAAAGTAATTTTCACTGACTCTGCGACCTCTACTCAGCCTACAAAAAAATTATTGGTACCAGAATGCCAACAAAAATATTAATTCGATACCTATAATTAAATATTCTTTTATATTGGGGTAAAAAAGTTCCAGCATAAGATCGCTTTAAGTGTTTAATGGAAATGCTGAATCGCCCACAGCATAGTATGATATTCGCATACCATCTAATTCTATGGCTTTAGGTTCAGGCAATTTTTGCTCGTTATTTAATAAGCGTATTCCAATATCAGAGCTACGAAATATTCCACCATCACTCTGTCGACCTTGAGCCCCAATGTCTACTGCAATAAATTTGTATTGTGCATAAATGAGAGCAAACCATGTCTTTGGGTTTTCTTAGACTTATCCAAAGCCTTCGATACGGTAAGTCACGATATGCTACTAGAATCTCTGGAAGAGATTGGTGTCAGAAATAAAAGTCAGGAATTATTTAAAAGTTATTTATCTAACAGAGGCCAAATAGTTAAAATAGATAGAGTAACAAGTGATTTTAAAAATACTGAATATGGAGTCCCGCAAGAATCTTAGGACCGATATTATTTAATATTTATATCAACAATTTATTTTTATTACAAGGAGCTGGTAACATTGTGGGAGTTGCCGATGATGCTGCCATATTTTACAGCGATGCTACATGGCTTAGACTTAAAAAGAAAGTTGAAACTGACCTTACAAAGATAAAGAGCTGGTTCGACAGTAAGATTCTTACTCTTAATTTAAACAAAACGCAATACTTACCTTTTCCTTGCACAAATACTAATAGTCCTAATTTTACATTTAACATGTGCAGTTAATGGTTCAACATTTGCCATTAATCCTGTAACTAAAATAAAATATCTAGGAATTATTTTTGACTGCAATTTGAAATGGAAAGACCATATTATATATGTTATTAAAAAATTACAAACTATCTTATATAAATTTAAATATTTGAAGAAATGTATACCTTCAAATTATTTGAAGATTTTATATTGTTGTTTGGTAGAAAGTTATTTAAGATACGGGATAATTGGACGGGGGTGTGCTCTCAAATCCTACATTAATCCATTAGAAGTAATCCAGCGCAGGTTCCTAAAAACAATTTTTAATAAATCACCCCGATACTCATCGAATGATCTATATAATGAAAGTAAAGTGCTCGATGTTAAACAACTATATTATCTAGCAGTTGCCTTAAAATATCAAAGTCAAAAACCTTATTGAATTACCTTATCACGAACATGATACACGGCAAACAAACCAATATAAACTACCAAAAATTCAAAAATCCTTATGTCAACGTTCTTTCTGGTATAATGCTCCGAAAATATTTAACTTAATCCCAGAAAACATAAAAAATTTAAATGGCAGTCAAATATACAAAAGTCATGTAAAAAAAATTATGTATAGTAAATCAAGACATTATTTTAGAGAAACAATTGAATTTTATTTCTAGCCTAGACTTTTGTATTCCCACTATTTGTATTGTTACGCAGCACCCTGTAGTGTGCTGCGGTCGTCATAAGTAAAGGTACAAGTAAATAAAGAAGATAGAATAATCCAGAAATGTCTCAAAATGTCATTCCTTGTCAAAGAAAAGTCCGGATTGTTCGAGAAGGTTTTAGAAGGTCGAGGCAAGCTAATTAAGTCGACGACCTGACGTCAGTTGGCAGTTTTATGATAGACGTTACATGTTAATGTTATCAGTTGTATCGTTATTGTTAAAGTTGAATTGAGTTATTGTAAAGTTGAATTGAAATAAATTGTGATACCAAAAACCAGTGTAACAGTATGTACGAAAATAAAAAAAAAATATATTTTATTAAGTTTAATTTATATTATATAATAAGTTTAATTATTATAAATAGGGATGCGAGTAATTTAAATGCATTCTTTACCTCCCTTGTAATCCCCCATTATTTGTATTATTTGTATTATCTGTATTATTAAATTTGTAATATTTGCATTTTCAAAATTAAAATTTAATTTATAATGCATTCTATTTTTAATTATTGTAGATATTAACATATATGTTAATAACTGAAACAGGTGTTATTCACCTATAAGTTCATGTACTAGGCTTTATATGCAAAATATAATTTACTCAAAAAATCATTCGTTTTTGCCATGAAACTGCCCCTGTAGTCATAAAATAATGTTTGTATGTTTCCCTTAAATTTCTGGAAAATGTGATGAATGATTGCTTCCTACTCGTGAAATTGATGGCAAGCCTTCTACTTCTGTTCTCCAACTACCAAGAACAATTCTTCATCGGTCAAGATCTTCTTCATCAACATATCCCTTTGGTAGATAGTTATTTACATGATTGCTTCTAAGCCAATTATGCAGGGCACAATACGTTCTAACTATTTTATCAACTGATGATAGTCCACAAGATATGGGTTTCTGAAATACTCGAAATTTGGAGACTAAAATGCCAAAACAATTTTCCACAATTCTTCTTGCACGAGATAATCGACAAAAAAGCTGCCATCAGACAAAATATTATTTTCAGGAACAGCAAACATAGAGCACTGCCTAAAAACACCTCCATCCGATGATTGCCCATTGCAACCAACGTCAATGTACGTAAAATTATAATTTCCAACTGCAATTGCCATCAAGATGATACTGTTCTGTCCTTTATAGTTAAAATAGTCGCTGCCACAATTCGCAGGAACCCTGATATTTATGTGCTTTCCGTCAATGGCACTATAACATCCTGGAAAATTCCATCTATGGCAGAAATCCCTTTCAATGGCTTTCCATTCTTTGCCGGTTTGGGGGACCTTAAATAAAATAGAACCCTAATATATTTTATTCAAAAATTATATCATATATGTTAAGATATTTTTATTCCAAATTTTTTTACAGGGTTTCCAATTATTAACTGATATCAATAACGATTCGCAGACATCACAGGATGAAACTGAACGGATACTGCATGAAGTACCAGCAGAAGAAGGCGAAAAAGAAAAATTTAATATTGCCAACGAGCCCACACCAAAACGTCAGTAGATTGGAAAAACAAATATCAAAGAAATTGCTGCTTGTGTTAAAGACCTAAATTCTTTGACTACATCTATTCAAGATATGGAACCATCGGAAAATGAAGTTGACATTTTTGGGAAGAGTGTAGCAGCACAGTTAAAAAAGTTGCCCCTTGCACAGGCCATTACAGCTCAAGATCAAATGCAACTTTTGAGTTGGTTTAGACTGGAAAATATATCAAGCACAATTTTTTTTTGCTTCAACAGATAGCATTATATGTACGCTTTCTACAACACCAGTACCACAAGAATCTCTACAATCATATCAATCTATAGTTTTGGAAAATGAGAGCAGAAACACAATAAGTATTCTTTCGGAAGCTTATGCTACTACTTTTGACGATAATTGAAAGTAAAACTTGTTTTTTCAAAATGTAAAAATAAAAATATATATTTTCCTGTATAAACTCTTTCAACGCATCGTAGGTAGCATCGCATACCTCTGGAATGAACTTTGAAACTGCAGGTCGAGAAACTCGGAAATGCTGTTGCAGATTTCGGTAACTATTACCAGTGGCTAAATAAGACAACGTTATTTCTAATTTTATCCTAGCAGGTATAGCCATTCTCATTGTTGTGTCAGTTCGCTGTATAGCTGGAGATATTTTTTTAAGATGTCAAAGAAAGCAGAATACATTCTCATACAATTTCTGTTTTCTTGAATGTCTTCAATGGCGAGCTTCTACGTGCCAACCATTTCCTTACCCAATTTTTTTTGTAGGATTAGCTACCGCTACTAATTAATTCTGTAAACAGTCAACTAGCTCCTCTAATAACACTTTTATAAAAGTTATCAATCGTTTCTTAGCGAGTACAACACATTTTTGCCTCGAATTCATGATTAAAAACTTTAAAACAACACACTTCTTATACGTCTGCTAATCAACATAAACGTATGAAAAGGAAATAATAATGAACTAGTTTATATAACTTGAACAAGTTACTAGAACCATGTAAATGCAAGATTCTTTCAACGCAATTGCTTTTAGTACTGGTTTTTAGTGACTTGTGCAAGTTACTGGCACCCGGGAGCTCTCTGAGTTTATTACAGCACAATATTATTGTATTATATCGTTCGGTAGAGTGTGGTTTTCGCTGAAATATTTAGAGTGTGGTTTTCGCTGAAATAGTTAGAGTGTGGTTTTCGCTGAAATATTTGTATTTTAACTGTTTATATCAATAGTGTACTTGCTTCTGTTTGATTTGTTTTTGTTTTATTTCCGAGTTTCTGCAATTTTGTGTTTTTATTTGATTTTATTTCCACTGCAATGTTTTCTGTTTGAAATTTAATTTTTTAATTAGCTGTTTTTTATTTCTTTTACATTTTCTTGTAAAGCGGTTTTTAATTATATTGCAACTAGCGTTGTGGATGTAATTTTTAGTTCTTTCTTGAAGTATAATATTGTTTCTGCTAGTTCTATTGTAACTACTAACGTAGTTGTGATATCAATTTTTATTGTAGTTCTTTTAGCATTGTCGTTGCTATTTTTGTTTTCATATTTCTATAAAGAGTTATTGTTTTTTTATTCTTATTTTAAGCAGCGTTGTGGTAGCAATTTTTAGTTTTTTTATTTCTTTACTACATATTGTTGTAGTTTTCGATTAGTTTTATTTTTACACTGTGCTTTTTTTTCGAATTCTTCTCTGTTCCTGCAAGTTTCGTTAATGTTGGAGAATAAAATTTTGTTTAAATTTGATTAGACTATATAAAATGGACACAAAATTAAAGAAAATAACGAATAAAATTAAATCTTTGAAAGGTAATATTACTTACTCGGAATTGTCCATTGATTTCACGGATAAATTTTATGATTCATTAGTAGATAACATGCACGGAGGCAAATTAAAGAAAAATAAAAAATACTGGATATATCAAACTATTCAAACACTTCTTTGCTATGAAAGGTGACAATAATATTGCTCTTACAGAAAATTGAAATAAAACTGACCAAGAAGAATCCAATTCTTTATTTTCTGCTAACATTGTCAATTTAAATAATGTAGACATTTTCAAGAATGAAGTAGCCAAAACTGATGAGAGTTTTAATTCAAAAATATCATCAAATTCGGCCATTATTAATTATTCACCAACGTCAATAAGAAATTTAACAGATTTATCAATATCTGTATTAAATTTAAATATTTCTGACCAGCCTTTTAGTTCGCAATGTTTGCCAACAGGTAGTGTAAACGAATACCCTAGTATCAATTCTTTACAACACACCAATTACTCCGTTTGTAATGTCTTGGAAAGCAATTTCAAAATTAAAGCAGATCAATGGGATAATATTACATAAAATGGAAAGTTGTGTGCCAAAGTATATCCTTTTTTCTTTACGTCTCAGTTCAGGAAGTACGTAAATAAATAATTAAATTCAGTGGTTTTAGCTGAAATTTTGAACTTGGAATTTGAAAGTATAGTCTATTTTCGTTATTTTCTGTGACTTTTATAGCGTGACACAATTTAGTTAAAAAAAAAAAAATGCAAATCAACATAACCATATGAAAAGAAAATAATAAACTAGTTTATATAACTTAAACAAATTACAAGAACTATGTAAATGCAAAATTCTTTCAACGCAATTGCTTTTAGTACTGGATTTTAATGACTTGTACAAGTTACTGGCACCGTGTAACCCCGCGTTTACTCAACTGTGCAACATGAACGAAAACGATATGGAACAATTAGCGTCCTTTATGGGCCATACATTGGGAATTCACAGATCGTCTTACAGGCTGCCAGATGATATATATCAAATAGCAAAAATATCGAAGTTGTTAATATTAATGAAGAAGGGGGAAGCTGGGCAATTTAAGGGAAAAACTTTGGATTAGATTAATTTGAATTTAGAAGTAAATTTGATGAACGAAGCAACTGAAATAGAGAAAGAAACAGAAAACGAAGTTGCATTAGAGAACGAGATCGAAAGTAAAAACGAAAGTACTGGTTACCTGACTGAGAAACCAAAAAAATTCAAAAGGAGTTCTCGTTGCATGGATGAAAAATAAAAAGAAATAGTTTTAAATTATTTAAAAAAACATATTAAAACTAAGAGACCGCCAAATCAAGATGAATGTAATGACCTAATCTCAAAATATTCAGATATTTTAAAAAACAAATATTGGTTAAAAATAAAAGTATTTATTCAAAATATTTATAAAAAAAATAAATGCAACTTTAAAAAAAAATTATTTTACATTACTAGAATCAATGTTTTAGTTTTATTACAGTAACTCCCTAACTCACAAAGCACTTTTAAATTTACTCATATATATTTACAGGATGGCCCAAGGTAACGCCTCTGTCCGTAGAGCTAAAACTAATGTTTTTTATCGGTTAAAATGTTTATGTGTAGCGTGCAGGTAAGAGCGCCAGATTTTTAGTTCCACATAATTTACCATACCTACATAGCCAATACTTTATAACTAATAATTGGTTCTTTTGATTTAGGATTATCAAAGAGGAATCTGTTTTGTTTTCTATTAATATAAGATCTAATTTTTAATCTAAATGATCTTGAACATATCAGATACATATCAAAGTTGAGTTTTTAAAATGTGACTTCCTTTTATTTTTGATATCTACTAAGAAAAGAAGTACAACTTTGTTAAGGGGTTGAAGTGTTTTCAAAATATTTGGTGTTTAAAAAATTCAAATATGTCCCAAATATCTTAATATTTTAAATTGATTTGTTAAGGTATATTAAGAGTGTTCTGTTCCTGTACATTTATAAATTGTGTTTTCTATTATTTTTATATACATATTGATATGGGGTATTGTGTGAGAAATATTTTGTGTTGATTGCTTTATTTTTGAATTTTCGTGACTCTCACTCAGGGCTTTTGTGGGTGTGTACGTGGTCGTAACTCGCTAATGTTTCTTTATTTATTTTATTGTTATTCAAAAGTTGTTTTCCCCCATATAATATATTAAAAAAAAATACTACGAAATTATTCTCCTTTTTTTTATTGTTATTGTGGGCGCCACTGCTTAATCCACTCTTTTTGAATGATTAAACAGGAATGAAAATATCTTATTGTTTTTTTGTAATAATACTAAATGTTTTATTAGCTGTTTTTAATATTAAATGTTTTTTTTTTACTCTGTATGAAATACCTCTTGTATTCCACGCCACTGTTTATATCTTATTTTTTTTTTTAAACCATGATAAATAAAAATAATCGTTTTAACTTTTGATTAAATACCAAATGGCACCAATAGTTCCCCTGTATTTTTTTTAAAGGACAAAATAATAATAAAAACACCGCATATAATATGATTTTAATACATTTTATTTAATCTTGGTTTGGAAAATTATTAGGAATAAATTAATACGTTCGAAATTAAAAATAAACTAGTGGAGTACTCCGTCGGGCAAAATTAAAACTATATTGGAAAAAAGATTGCTAGCTGGAAAAATCTACTGATTTTGCTAGTGTCGCTACTAAAACCTGGATGGCGACACGTTCTAATATAGTTAATAATTGTGAATAATTCCACTGGGCCGCGCTGGTGAGTACTTGATGTAGATTGTTCGCACTAGTGTCAAAATATCAAATAAAAATTAAAATTACAAGGAAAACAGATCAAGAATAAAACTAGTAAGTAATAATTTATCTTAGCTCAATTGTATTTATTTTCAAATACCTGTGATTACTAGTATTGTTCGTGGATAGATTTGCGTTCACTAAAACGTCCTGTTTTGGGTTTCTTTTAGGTTAGGGACTGGAGATGAAAACACAGTATACCAGAATTCTGTCCTTTATACTGTGGAGAGTGTGGTGAAGATTTCAGAGTTCAAAATTTGAAGATTGACTCTAAACACAGAGTCCAGAAATAGCCATTGACTTGAAGACTTCACGTATGAATCTCGTTGCCAAAGAAACCATATTATGCTGGTTCGTTTTCTAAGGTATTTTTGAGCACTTTGGTTTACACCGTTTTTTTTTTTACTTTCGCACTAATTTCACTACTTTTCTTTGTTACTAACTATTTATTACATATTTCTTAGATTAGTGATAACACTTTTGTCTAGTTTTTATTATTATTTTGTGTTAAAATGATTAATTTTCAGGAGAGAAAAAATATGGGTCTTCCCCCTTTTTCGTCGTAACCGCTCTCCTTTGTTTCTTGTCAACAAAACTTTTCAAGAAAATAATTTCAAGTTGCCCAGAAATTTTTGTGGCCAATAGAAAACGTTTGAATTTTGTAACTAAGAAAATTAAGGAAATTTAATTTTAAAAGGTGAGTTTATTAAAAATGAAACTGCTATTAATTTTAAAAATAATTTTGTAGTATTTTGATACTCGATTAATTTAATTATTGGTTGCCAAATTTTTATATTTTAAAAAAACTTTAAGGGTATAAATTTAATTTGGCATATCTGTCAAATGATTTATTTTTCTAAGGTTGCATACACTTTTTGTTGTACAGGATGTTTTTTTTTTTATCATTGATTTTAAAAATTTTTACTAATGATTAATAATTTTTTTTTTTAAATTTTATTTTAACTGATTAATTTTTAAATTTTGTGTCATGATACTTTCATAGCAATATATATTTATTTTTATTTGGGCATATATTATTTATATTTTGTTTATGACCGCTTTGCGTTTGTTAATATTAATATTTCATATTTTTTATATTTAATTACGATAAAGGTTTACTTGATTCATATTTCTCCATTTCCCCTTATCCCAATATCAACCGTCCTAATTCTATACTTTGGACCCTTTTTTTTTGTCTTTCACCGATTTGGAAGTCTGTCGAAGAACTGCGATACAGAACGAAAACGAACGCTATCGTGTTAAATTGTAGACTATACAGTTTAAAATTAATCCCAACCGGCAAAATTTTGTGAACCTGTTAATACGGCTTTTATTTACCTCGCATTGCGCGACTTCAAGGGAAGTTTCATCCCCAGGACATAAGGAAGAGGATTGCCCTTCCCTCCTATCCGGTAAATTTGAGTAAACCTTTAATTTGTTTATTTACTTCTTTTTAATTTCATTTTTTTTTATTATTAAAATAATTAAATCAACACTAAAAGGTGAAATATTAAATTTATGAACTCAGCGCCCCTATCATTACAGTCCGGAACTACTAAGAAAATAATTATATAATTCTGGATATATAATATTCATTCAATTTTAGTATAACCTTCTCAGTAGCTAGTTCCGAATCAAAGAGTCTCCTGTGCCGTAAGTTTAAATACTTACTGATCAAAAATATTGAAGGGTGCTTACAAAGCAGACATATATAAAACACTAAAAACTTCCTATATTTTAAATAGAACACCCAGTATATTTCAATATTATTTTACGTATCTTTTAAAACAATTTCAAACAAGGTAAATATTTCCATTCCCTATATCTATCTGCGAGAGTTTTAGATATAATACTTATATTTATTTTTGCAGAAGGCATTTCATTAACCCTTTGCAGCATAGTGGTTATAAGGTGTAACCACAAAAATTATTTATGTTGACCTATCCAGCATACCGGTTGAAGACAAATAACCACGTTAAAATGTTGGCTGGAAGCCACCTCTACCGAAGTTCTATCAAACTTATTTTATTGGTTAATAGTACCAGGTCTTCAACAATACCCGAAACCCACGTGATCTGGTAGCATCAAAAACACAGCGAAAGGGCCTGATTTGGTTCCTTATATGTCAACTGTCGTTGTCAATACTGTCAAAAATATCATTAGCGTTCATTTGGGTTTTTGGGTATATTTATAATATTTATATTATTTAAAGGTTATTGATTTTGCATTTTGTCAACACGCTTTTATTAAATTTTTCCTCAAATAATAATAAACCAATCAGTTCTTTTTAGAGCTCATTAGTGCTTTCATTCTTTTTTGCCGGTAAGTGTAAATTTATTTACTTTTATACAAGTTTATTGACAATATAATTTTCAGCTCAAAATGTTTACACCGGAACAAGATTATTTTATTTTAATGGCACATTATAGAAGTGGATCTCGAAATGATGATGGAACTTGGTCATATTCAATTCAGAGTTGCATTCAACAATTTGAGGAACGTTTTCCAGGTGTACAAATAGAATATGATAGTTTTCGTCATCATAGACATATTCTTGTTCAACGTTTTGAAACGAAAAATTGCATTTGTAAAGGAAAGGGGTCTGGAAGGTCCACAGTAATAACCGAAGAAGTTGTTCAAGATGTGCGAATTCGCATGGAGCAAAGTCCCACTAAATCAGTAAAAAAGTTAGCAGCTCAAGCAGGTAAGAACAGTGTTTGGGAGCTTGACTCTCTTATAATCTAATTTCATCGTTTTAGATTTATCTGTAGGAACTAGCCATAAGATTTTGAAAAAAAAAATCTATCAATGCATCCTTATAAGGTTTCAGTACTGCAACAATTGTTTCCTGGTGATTTTGTTAAACGTATGGAATACTGTCGATGGTTCAATGAACAATTAAATGACAATAACTTATTGGATCGAACTTTTTTTACTGATGAAGCATGGTTTCACTTATCAGGATATGTCAATAGTCAAAATTAGAGTGGACGAAGTTAGCCCCCCTTTTTTTAAAATTTTATTTTTTTTTAGTTGTTTCAAATTGTTCTACGGTTGTTCTAAACTGTTCTAAAACAAAAAATATTTTTTTTCCAAAATTAACTTTAAAATTTAAAAAAATTAAAAAATTGCAGTAGCCCCCCTTTTTTTCAAAAAAATAATTTTTTAATGTTGTTCTGGATTGTTCTAGAACTGTACTAATTTGTTCTAGAAAATTATTTCAAAAATTTAAAAAAAAACCTATAAAAAACAAAAAACAAAATTTTTTGATAGCCCCCCTTTTTTCA